TTAGTTGAGTTTTGCTCAATTTTATAGATTTTGTTGATTTTTACAATATGAATATGAAAGTACAACTTTAATATATGCAATAAAGCATATGTACGTTATATTTGTACATTGTTTATATAATAGATATTTAAACACTTAAAAGGTATTCAAAACTAAAGGGAAGCAACGGTTCCCTGACTTTACAATCAAAGTAAACCAGCAGGGTGAACTATAAAACTTTCTGATAAAGTTTAGTTTGTGTTACCTGTGTTTTCTGAAATGTGCCTTACATTTATTTCAATCGTAATCGAAATTTTTAAAGTCGAAAGTTTTTCATTTTTTTTTAATGTGCACATTGACGGATGCTTTTTTGAAATTTATTCGAAATGTTATTTTACTGTTAACAGTGTTCTTTCGTAATGGTTGCGATTGTTAGAATGTGAATAGATGAGTTAATTAATGTTATTGCAAAAGTCGAATGCCATTTCAATGCAAGTGTATTTTACAAAACAAAAACATAATATTTGGTAGAGGGTACGTTGTTTTTTTAGTTATAAGCATTACCAAAGGCTGGCAGTGGCAATTGTTATTTCTTAGTGTCAAGTTAGTTAAAACTACTTTGTTATTAATAAAATATTTTTATACGTGTCCTGCTTTATTTTGTTATTTTTTTTTTCTTGTAAGAAGTAATGCCTCTACCAGCATTAATTAAATAACTTTGGTGATTAAACTTTATTTAACAAGAGTATCATAGTTCGAAAACTTGATGAATATAGTTACTAAAAAGTTCATCCCTATACTTCATACCAGCATACATATCCTTTATGTCGAAAATAAAATATATTTCGAAAATAATTCCTCAGCTATATAGTATTATTTGGTTTATCTTATTAACATTTGTACATTTTTTATCAGTTTATGTTTTTGTTTGTTTAAAAACGAACAATTTGTTGTCTTTGAACGATATTCTAATTTATCTTAGAAGTCTAACATTGTACATCAATCAGTTCAGGTGTAACATCATTAAATAAAATAGTACCAGTAAAGTTTGTAGTGGTACCCAAAGCAATGTTCATAGAAAGCATTTAACTTCACACAGCATCGCGGGCATCGGCAGGTTCGCCGCATTGTTGTTTTGTGCATCCTCGGTATTAGGTGCGGGCATTATGTTAGTTTTATAAAAAGTGTATTTACTAGTTTAAAAATGTGATAACAGTATGAGGTGTTAGTGTTTTGTATCGTTTAACAGTTAGGTAGTTGTTTACTTTTTAATAGTGTTCTGGAGTTGGTCATTTATTAATAAAATGGATGGTCTGTACAGGTTAGTGCTATTAAATCAAATCTAGCTCTAAGATGTAATATGATTGTAAATACTATAGGAAATAGTAAGAATTTTTATTATATTCATTGCACATTTTACATTTTGTGCTGATGTCTTGTTTGATGTTTGATAATTATCGGATAACTACTTACCTACATACATGCCAAGACATACCTAACCTAACCGAGGTTAAGTGCGTTTTAGCGCCAGGGGTAAGTGCCATATAACGGAAATAAGTGCTATGCACTCGATAGAAGTAAGGTGGGGTTGGGGAAGGTTGCTATTATTGTTGTGTTTAAATGCTATGCACCAGCAATAAGTGGTGTTCATTCCTTAAGAGTAAGGTTACCCTCTTTATGTTATCGCACTAACTGTTGTGTACCCAACACCAGATAAGGAAGTACAGGTATTGAAATAATTCATTTTTCAAATGTGGAAGGGATATTTTTTGCAACATTGAAGTACTTTTGACTTTTTATCTTCATTCAGTACATAAAAAATCTGATCTTAACACTTAAAACATGCATAAATAGGTTATATGAAGTTTCTTCCTTTATAAACTTTCCAAGTTTACTGGAATTTGTATCAATTGCGTTATTACTATTTAAAAAAACAAACTAAATAACTTTTCAACGCCTTTACTAACAGAAACTTTTTTAACAAGGTATACATACGTAGAGATAATAGAATCTTACATTTTACAACATCAATTATTTTTCAGTAATAATAAATAAGTAAAATACAAAAATACTACTATGAGAAAAAAATTATATACAATCATTTGTTTTGTACGCATTTGACTATAAGCCACCTGTAAGCATTGTTTTTCTATCAAGGCACTGCTATATTGTATAGAAAAAATAGAATGTAAAAGCAAAATAAAGTGACATGACTTCGACAAAAATTATACACTGCCTAAAGTTGAAAGTTTCTTCATATATCTAAATACAAGTGCAAAGTGCTTTAATAGACATTAAAAGACTAACAAGAATGCCAAGTAGATACAAATGAACATACTTAAGAAACATAAGACACAATCCAAAACTACTTTAGCATGAATTACACAAAATTACAATAAATTATTACATTATTAATAAATGGTTAGATAGTTTGCATAGTAGTACGGCTTCAGAGTAACTTACTTTGTGTTTATACTTACGTTGTAATAATTCTAATAATTTCCTTGCTATAAAAAAAGAC